CTGGGGAGTCTGGGGCAGGAGGATTGCTAGAGCCCAGGAGTTTGAGGTTACAGTGAGCTATGATGACACCACTGCACTCTAACTGCGGTGACAGAGCAAGACTCTGTCTCAAAAAAAAATGTGTGTGTGTATATATGTGTATATATATATATAAACATTACATTGCAATCTGTACACATAAGAACACAAACACCTGAAACAAGTTCATTAACTTACAGTTATTTATGTATAATTTTCTCTGTTATTTGCTCCCCCCTATTAAATAAAATGCCAATTATACATCAATAAATTGATTTTAAGACCCAGTGAGGGTTGTGGCCTATACATTGAAAAACTTTGTTCTATAGAATCTCATTTGATGAAGTGATGTGTTTACTACCTAGGTGATTAGTAAAAAGAGCTATGTTGGCTATTGTAGGTTTCTTAAAACTCAGGATTTAAAAAGCATTTTGAGTGCCTACTGAAAAACTTGTTAAATTCTAGAAAGTTAGCAAGATGGGTTTTTTTTTTCTTCCCAACATTGACTAGGACAGTATAATTTCATCAGGGTAAAAGTGGCAGTTAGCCTTAATTGGGCTAAACAATGTAGTGGATTGTTTAAAAGTTTTTTGCGTTTCATTTTTTTTTTTAATGATTTTGTTAAAAGCTTAGGGTATCAGTAATTAAATATGTTTGTATTTGACAGCTTCATTATTCAGTTTTCCTCACCTGGAGTTTACTTATTATTTCTATATTCTGATGATATGCAGGCTTGTAACAAAGTAGAGCTGGATTGTATGGTCTCGGTGTTTTCTCATCTGTACAATTAAGGGGGTTGAATGAGAACTTCAGAGGTGTGGTAATTTCCATCTCTAAAATACTGTGTGTGATCATTGGCTCTTCAGAATGCTGGTTTCACATACCAGGAATATTGCTGTTTTTATCTGCTATAAGAAAGAAAAACTATTCTTTGGGTAGACTTTAGTAGAAATAAATTAATGATTAAGAGCAGACTAATAAAACCCTATTGCTTTTAAACTACTTTGAGTTATCTGTGTTTGGTGCCAAATGGATCTTATGGTGTTTTTTGTCTAGCTCCCCACTTTACCTTTCACTTTTGTACTTTAAACAGATACAAAAGTGGAGGCTTCCCATCTCAACATCCTATGGGGATTATCCACTAGTTGGTTCTTTGTGACCAAATAATACTAGAGATTATATCTGCTTTTAAAGTAAGAACAGGCATATACTTGAAGTTTTGAAGTTTTTTGTGTTCCTATACTTTGTATTAACCTCGTTGGGTTGCATTTTTCCTTTTCTAGTGCAAACTTTTCGACTTATTTAGATAGAACTACAGTTGATTTGAATGAAGAAAATTGGTGTAATTCATTTGATGGCTTTTAAATAGCTACTACTTGCTACTTTCTCTGGCCTAAATGGTAACCTGAAAACTGCCATAAAGTGGAAAATATTAATAACTTAATATAAAAAGAGGGAAGTGTTTTGAAAGTATTGCATATTAGTGAAATGAACAAGAAACCTTTTAAGACAATCTTTCTAGATGGTACTGGAACCAATACTCCATAAGACCTACACATCTTTTAATGGTGTGACTTAATCATCTTATCCAAATAGGAGTGTTACTTTTGTGTTCAAAATTGCAGCAGTATTCTGGGTGACACAAGTTAATACTTGTAAGTAATGATAGCTATTATTTATTGAATAGTTTATGTACTGACACTCATTCTCACAACAGTCTTGAGAAAGAGGTATTGTTACTCTTGTTTTACAAGTGAGGAAACTGAAGTTCAGTGAGGGAAGTAACTTGCAAAGGGCATACAATTAGTAAGTGGCAGAGTCAGGATTTTAATCTAATTCAGAAATATGTGTTTTTATTAGCTGTTCTCTTCCCTTGGAAAAGAAAAAAAAGAAATATAATTAAAGTTAAAACATTTTTTAAAAAAGAAATAAAAGAAAAAAATATGCGTTTTTAACCTCTATGCTGTATTGAAATCTTGTATTGGCCTCCTAGTTCTAGTTGTTGATAGTCATTTTACACTGAAGAGTTTAGCTTTGGCATTTAAGTAATAGTACAGTCATGTGTCACTTAATGAGGATAGGTTCTGAGAAATGCATCATTAAGCAACTGTCATGCAAATATCGGAGTGTTTTCTTCCACAAATCCAGATGGTTTAGCCTACTGTACACCTAGGCTGTGTGGTATAGCCTGTTGCTCCTAGCCCATAAACTACAACATGTTACTGTATTGAATATTGTATGCAATTGTAACATAACGGTATGTATTTGTGTATCTAGACATAGAAAAGGTACAGTAAAAATACAATATTATAACCTTATAATTGTCATATATGCCATCCATTGTTGACTAAAATGTCCTTATGCGGCACATTGCTGTACGTTGAGAACTAAAAATATTTATTATTTTCAGCTAGAAAACAGAACCTCCAATTCCCTGGAACTTAATATTACTCTTAAATGCTGGGCTTCTATCCTGTCGTCTCAATTTCCAGTTTTTATAGGATTAAGTTCATCAAAAATGTATTTCAGCCCTAAACAAGGCAAATTTCTAGATGGTAGAATTAGTATGCTGTTTTGAATAAACATCTTAGAAGGCAGGACGTAGTTTGGGAAAGAATAAAAATTATTGTGTCATTACAATGAGTTATGAATGGCCCTTGTTACACAGATATTTAAATTTTTTTCTTTTCCCTGTTTAGCATTTATGGATGACTATTGATTCTGACTACTCTTAATGAGACAGAATTGCTTCTATACTCACATTTTGCTTTACTTTTTTTAGTTTTTGTGATAAATGACATACAATAAAATTCTGTTAAGTCTCGCTGTTTTCAGATCATTGAAGCTTTTTGTTTCAATATTTTGAAATATTTTGTTTCAAAGGAAGGGATAGTCTTTCAGTTTAATTTTGAAATTTAATTTCTTATGTAATGTCAATAGAGACTACATGGCATTTCTGTAGTTCTCTTTCTTGGAAACTAGGATAGAAAAGAATATACTAAATAGTATCTTTTTTAATTTTTTAGATGTAAAGTAACAAGTAATTGAGTTAGGAGGAAACTAAGTTTTCTTTTGTCATGAAAGGCAGTTAGTTAAATGTCTGATAGGCTGAAAATGCCAGACATCCTCCCTACTGATGCCTTTCCCCGTCCTAATCCTTTGCAGATGCCAAGTCTATTCACTCATCAAACCTATTTCTTAAATTTGGTGTTCCTAATGAAGAAGAGGTAACCCCTGTCCATAAGAAGCTTGCATTCAGTGCAAGCTTCAGACAGACATTTGGTAGATTATATAGTATAAATAATGGATTAGGAGGTAAAGTTGTATATGATATGAGTGGGAGTGGTATGAACAGTATTCTAGGATGAGGAACAGCAGGACCAAAGGGTAAGAAACCACAGGACTGAAGGAATTACAAACTTTGTAGATTGTTTAGTTGTTAGATGGCAAGAGATAAGATCTTAAAAGGCTTTAAGGAGCCTGGATGTTGTCCTCTAAAATGTAAAATCAAGCTTCTGGCAGAACTCTTTTATTTGGCACTAAGAGCAGACAGCTCTTCCAGCCTCTGGCAACCACCATTTCTACTCTCTCTGAATTTGTCTACTCTAAGTCCCTCTTTTAAGTGGAATTAATAGTCATATTTTAAAGTTAACTTTCTTAATAGTGTGGTATCTTTGGTAATATAAACTCAGATTCTTATTATATGTAGTTGGCACATACTTTTTAGTTTTAGTAAACTAAAGGAAAACAGAAGGCAAAATCCAAATCCCTTAAGAGCCTTTTTTTCAGAATTCACCCCCACCCATATCATCTTTACTTATTATAATAGAAGATGGATCCGTGGTTGCATTCTGACCATCCTTGTCTTTGAACTTAAATGGTGTCTTAGTCTATACAACCAGGGATATCCCTGTGCTCAGCTTTAAGTTTAGTTAGTGACATATATTTCCCTTAATCTTTTTAATTCACTTGTATCCTACAGTTAGGCCTACAGTTAACAGAACATTTTTTTTTTTTTTTTATCTAAGCCTCTTTTGCAAACTAGGCTGTTTGGGTACTAACATGAAAGCTTACATATCTCTCTCTAGAGGAGGATTATTAAACTTTTAGAAATGTAATAGGAAACCAGAAATTAAGATTAGTCTGAGATGTTTAAAGATGCCTAACTTGGTAGGAAGTACTTAATATCGTTTAGAGTCAAGACACAGTGAATGTTCTCCTTGGTCTGATTTTATAATAGTCAGGACAGGCTAACCATTCACTATATTAAGACTTCACTTGTGTCCCCAAACCTAGTTCTTTCCCTAGGTCTGGTTTTATAAATGGTGATAAGCCAGATCTGACAAAAAGAGAGAAAAGAACAGGGGAAAAAAGTTTTTTTAAAAAGTGAAATAGATGAAGAAATTTGTGAGACTTTCATATTTTTTAAAATTATATAAAAAATATCTTTTGACTGAACCAGTCTGAATTCTTTTCATTTCCCCTATATGTAAGGCTTAGTGTTACCATAATTTTTGTGCATTATAATGTAACTATTTTATCTAAAAATTGCTTTTGCCTTGAACCAAGCTTTGTAATAACTTCATTTATCAAGTGTCTATGTATATCAGTAAAAGTAACATTTACAGTTTTGGCTTATGAATGTCGCATTTCTATATAAAGAACATGTAGGTACATGGTGATTTGGCCCATTTTGCTGTCCTATGTATGTATGTTTTGAGAGGTGGAAGATTGTTTTGTAGGGAAGAATGGCATTTGAGCTATCACCGAGATGAGCAATATGAGAATTGTAGTTTGAAATACTTTTAGTTTGAACTGTACTTTCTTGTAACAAAATGTGAAGTATTTTGGCAGAAGTGGAGGCTGTTAAATAATTTTCAAAGAGCTAGTTCAGTTCTGTTTATGAAATAGAAATGTGTGTTCTATGTCTTAGAGAAGTCCTACATTTTTATGATCTTAATTAGAGTCTCTTCTTTCTACAGAAACAGGAAGGTTGTTGATTATTCACAGTTTCAAGAATCTGATGATGCAGGTAAGTTTTGTGGTTTCAACAAATTGTAAGTTGGACTAACCAGTGGAGGTTTGCCAGCTTATTATATATTTTTTATTTTTAGAATATTTATCCAAATTATGTCATGATCTGTGTCAATTAAAGTTGAACTTACATGGATTTTTAACTTTTCCTTAGTAAATCGTTGGTAATAAACACTTAAATATTTTTTTCTTACCTGGTTTTGGAGTCTAAAGTTTAAATGTTTAATAATTTTGATATAGTATTTATCACTTATAACATCTCCTGTTATCACAGTAAAACTTGTACCTTGTATTAGGGAGCATTTAAGGTTTTTGCCTAATAAAGCAACTAAGTGTCCATTTTGTAAAACAACTTTGATTTGTAAACTAATTCATCATAGCGTGAGTGGTGTATCTTAAATCTTAGCCTTAGAAGGTTTCTTTAGAGTTGGCTCCTAATCTCCTCATTTTCCAGATGCATTTACTATTCTTTTTAATCTAACTTTATAAAGGTAATATGTGCCCTTTGGGAAAACTTAATAAAATGCAGAAAGATACAAAGAAGAGTAAAAAAAAGTAATATGTAATCCAGCCTCCCAGAGATAATACTGACATTTATTAAGTGCTTGCTACATGCCAGCATTTGTTTGTATTCAATAATTTATTACTTAGAAAAATCCTTTTAATATGGTATATACTATTATTATTTCCATTTTATAGTCAAGGAAACTGAGGCAGAGATAACACTCAGGCTCTCTTAGCCAGCAAATAGCTATTTTTTACCTTTTTGTTGACGTAGTAATTTATCTTTTTTTCCTTTTAAAAATATAGTTGATCGAATCCGAGTCACGGCACCAAAAAATAAAAAAAAAAAATAAAAATATAGTTGAGGTCTTACTATAGTTTTGGATTCTGTACCCCATCATCCTTACTTCAGAGTATCTCTCTTGTATTATTAAAAGTTATTTGAAAAATTCCTATTAACGATTGTATAATATTCCATAATGGAATTTATAACGTATCTAACAATTTAATAAATTGCCGAAGCTCCAGATTACTTCCAGCTTCTCCCCATCATGTATATATAGTGCAGCAAACAGTTTTGGAAGTAATTACCTTTTAAGAAAGGGTCATTTTCTTTAGTTTTATAGAGCTTTTGAAATTGGAAGTATTTCTTCAAGTGCTAGAGTATGTTGTATTTAATAATTTTGTTTAAAGTAATTTGCTTGATAATAGTAGTCATGTAGAATTGTAGTTTCTTTACCTTTAAAATGCTTGTAATATAATTATATTGCTATAATAATTTTTAAATAAATATGAAGATATTAAAATATGAAAAAATCTTATCAATCAAAAGGGTAAGATATAAAATGATAAGAGATATTTAGCTATAGATATATGAAATATATATACATGAGGACTAGAGGATAATATGCAAAAATAGAGTTAAGGTGGTGGGGCTGGGATGGAAAAGAATTTAATTTTAAAAAACGAAACTAGTTGGGAAGTCCTGTCTCTCTTTCCATTTAAACAGCATAAGAGATAATTATGTCAGTAAATACAGTGGTGATTTTAACCTGTAAAAATCATAATATAGTTAATGGAATTTGAAAAATTCTCTGTTTAGATGAAGATTATGGAAGAGATTCTGGCCCTCCTGCTAAGAAAATTCGATCATCTCCCCGAGAAGCTAAAAATAAGAGGCGATCTGGAAAGAATTCACAGGAAGATAGGTAAGAGGCATTGTCTTCTGATCCTCCTTACACTGTGGCCACTCTGAGATGAGGACAGTCTCTGATCTCTAAATTGGTGGAATCTTTATATACTTTTGGAAAGTTGTTATGGTCCACTTAATGTTTTGCCTATTTCATATTATTTCAGGCTGTGCTTAAGTATGTAATTTGTTACCTAAGGTTAGTATTGATACTTTTATTTATTTATTTTTTTTATTTTTTTTTATTTTGGCATATTATGGGGGTACAGATTTTAAGGTTTCAATAAATGCCCATTTCCCCCCCTCCCCCCTGATACTTTTATTATAGTGACAACAAAAAATAAGTGATGTCTTTCATTCAGTCACTTATCATTGTCAGAATTATAAGGAAAGCTTATAGAATCTTAAGTTGTGTGGCTGAGTTTTGTTGTATCATAATCAATTTTCTTTTGTTTAAATAGTTTAATCATATTGGATGGTTTCTTTTCCGTTAGTTTTACAAATGAGTTCATGTAAGTAATAATTTTAACTATAATTTTGCCTCATAAGACCAGGATATTATAACTTATGCCTGTTTTTAAAGGTATACACACATATCCTCATACTCAGTGTTAGATAACTTTAAGACCCCCTTGATGATAATGATGGTGATGATGATGGCTACCATTTATGAATATTATGTGCCAGTCTCTATTATATGCTTTACATACAGCATCATTTAATTCTCACAACTCATCTATTAGGATAAATAATACTAACTTAGAGGAGTTCAGTGATTTAACCAAGGTTACTCAGCAAATGCACAAACAGATTTTGAAACCATGTCTGTTGGATTCCAAAGTCCATTTTTTGATTTGATTTGATTTGATTTTGAGACAAGTTCTTGCTATGTTGCCCAGACTGGTCTTGAATTCCTGGGCTCAAGCAATCCTACCTTGGCCTCCCAAGTAGCTGGGATTATAGGTGTGCACCACTGTGCCCAATCCCAAAGTCCATATTTTAACCATAAGGCTATACCATTTCCAAATAATACCATTATGAATGAATGAGCAGTTCAAGAAATGAAATGATATTTCTCCCTGGATCTTCTAAGAACTTTGGAGCACGGAAATCACAATAAAATACTTGCATTTACCTAATATATTTTGCTGGCTTATTTGTTAACCTCTACTATGCCCTTTCTGGAGAATTTTAGAAATATGCTTTTGAGGAAAAATAATACAAAATTATGCTGTTGGGAAACAAGTCTTCCAGAGTTTCATAGTATATCCCTAAAACAGTATTATGTAGCAGCTCCAATACAGAACTATTGTTCATTATATTCAGTTATTATGTTTCTCCTAGGAATTGGCTGCTTCATGGACTGTTATTGTGTCTCATCCATGTAATTATATCTAGCTTAAATTTTTTTCTTGTTGTAATCGCTTGATTTAAGTGTCAGGAATGATTGAGTTTTTATTGCCATTTGTATTAGATGACTTGTATGTTTGTTCTCTCAGACCAGTGCTATGTTGATTCTTTTCGGTTTCTACTTAAAAGTTCAGCTTTCACTTGACTTTGCTGTAATGATGCTCAAAGATTAATAGTCTCGGCCAGGCGCGGTGGCTCACGCCTGTAATCCTAGCTCTCTGGGAGGCCGAGGCGGGCGGATTGCTCAAGGTCAGGAGTTCAAAACCAGCCTGAGCAAGAGCGAGACCCCGTCTCTACTATAAATAGAAAGAAACTAATTGCCAACTGATATATATATAAAAAATTAGCCGGGCATGTGGCGCATGCCTGTAGTCCCAGCTACTCGGGAGCTGAGGCAGTAGGATTGCTGAGCCCAGGAGTTTGAGGTAGCTGTGAGCGAGGCTGATGCCACGGCACTCACTCTAGCCTGGCAACAAAGCGAACTCTGTCTCAAAAAAAAAAAAAAAAAAAAAG